CTTGTCATTTCTCTTGAAGACTTTATAGTGATAGTTTTAATTCTATTTGAGTTTTACAGCAATCTCCTGGCACCCTATTCATGAAGGGCTTTTTGTGTCTGGTGGAGGAGATGGTTCTATCGCCTACTGGCTAGTAGAGAACGAGAAGGTTAGTTACGGTTGCTATAAGTGTTCTGCCTCACTGCGCATGCTCAAAGCACTATGCAGAAATTATTGCTGGTTCCTCGAGATATGATAAGCTAGATTATCGGCGAATAGCGTAAGAAATCAGATATGAGTATGTGTGGGATCTGCTGGCTCTCTTGTGATGGGGATAGAGGTTAGTCATGACTGTAGTTTATCTTCCTGTTTTCATGCTGCGTTGGACCGCCAATATGGGCCACCAAAGTTTTCATAGGATCCTCTACGATCATCGTGTTCTAAGAGCATAAACTTTTTTCGACTCAGGGGTGTCTAAAATTTGGTGATAAACGAACTGCACATTGTATGGCACCCATTACTAATATTGAATTAGTTTTCAGTTGAACGTACCATTACAAACCACTTTTCAGGAGGTTGCCTTCCTCGAGCATGCTCACGATCAAGCTGTTTGGGCCATGAAGTTTCATCCCATGGGCCATATATTGGCAACAGGTAATTGTTCATGCAGTGTGTTACCAATTTGACTTCTACGACATTTCAAAACATTGATTGTACAGGTTCGAATGACAACAATACAAAGTTTTGGGCCCGAAACCGACCTGGTGATACTCAAGAGGATATATTTGGACTAGCTTCATTCACGACCAATATGGTATTGTCCACTTCTACTTTAATGTTAATGTTCATCCACTTTAATGTTGTTGTAATGTTCCATTAACACCCAATCATTACAATTGTTTCGAGACATATGTGACCATTTGAAGGTTGGCGCATTGGATAAGGAACGCGAGCCCAAAAGCACATCTGTACGTCTCGACGAGGAATACCTTGCTCCAGTTATTCCTGGTAATTCACTCTATTTCGAATCTTTCATTAGCGAAAATCAGAAGGCAAAAGAAGGCTTGAACTTAGTACTAGCTGAATATCATTTCGAATCCTCATATGTCTCTAATCGCGTCAGCATTTGTGAAAGGCGCATCGGTGGTTTAAAGATGCTTAGCTTTTTTGTTTTTCTCCATTACTATTTGACCAACTACCATAAGTACGTTCATTTTCGACGTGTTCAATTGCTAAATTGCCGTTGAGCGAGAGAATCCTAACTTTG